GAGAGAGAGAGAGAGAGAGAGAGAGAGAGAGAGAGAGAGAGAGAGAGAGAGAGAGGAGAGAAGGGGGGAAGGGGAGAGGACGACGAGCAGCAGGAGGAGGTCGACGAACCGGAGGAGGAGGAGATTGGGGGTCTCGGTAGCAAGAGGCGGAGGAGATTGGGGGTCTCGGTAGCAAGAGGCGGGAGGAGCGGAAAGAGGAGGCGAGGATGACCATTGGTAGGATCGGGAGTAGGAAGAGATGCGCCGCGGTCCGATTGTCATTGACACATCAGGAAAAATGGACGAAACACCCTGTTACGTGGATCCATAGTCACGTTGAGAGTTTAAACATGTCGGTGCATAAAGCCGGGGCACGTGCTCTTTGGTAGACACCCCACCCCCCAAGAAGTACTGTGCAAGGTGCATTGCCAGCAGAATAGTTTTCATTGAATTTCATGTTTCGCTTATCCTCAAGCTTCCATAGTTCCTGCCACTTCACCACATCACCTTCCATGCATCCCCCCTGTCCCATTTTCTGACCTATATATCGCGTCATGTGCCTTCAACTACCCTTCTCTATTCCACGTGGCAACCAGACCCCCCATCCTATCTTGCCTGAATCACATTACCACCAGCATGCACGCCGCTCCTCCGAGGTGTTGACTCCATTGCCGCCCTGGTGAAACACGGACCGCTGCGCCGTGGCAGCCACTCTACCCCTCCGTAGATGGTAGACCATAGACCGAACGTGAAACAGGAACCCAAAAATCAGAGACTCTATTCCTCCGTAGACCGTAGATGGAACGCAAAAGTCTGCGAGCCCGAAGCCGGAACCCAAAGCACACCTCCAAATATGGCAGCCCGTCTCCTTTCCCTCTCCTCACCCTCCTCCTCGGTCCGCGATGGCAGCTTCCAGCCACGGCTTGCTGCGATAGCACACATGCACACATGCGAATAGCGCTTCCCATCCTTCTCGATCCTCACATCTGCAAGTACCCCCGTTCGTCCTGCTCCCGTTCCAGAAACTTCGCGGTGCCAGCCACAGACAATTTGGCTGGGCCCGGCCTTTTTTACAGGCAGCCCTTGACCCCAAAACGCGTGCGCACACGGGAACTGCTCCCCATGACCCCGAAACGCTTCCACAACAGCACGCCACCCTTCGAACTGGCTCCGACAAAAAAAAAAAAAAAAAAAAAAAAAAAAACTGCGATTTCTGTGAGTTCCCCTTGGGCCTGCGCCTTGTCCCCCGCCATTTTCCCAACACAGGCAGCCTGGGTTCGCGGCAGCATCACGCGAGACCCGCTGTTCCCTTTATAAAGAGTATAGAAAAGGATGAGTTATGCGAGGGTGATGATGGAGGTGGAGAGAAGAGCGGAGGAGATCTTTTTTTTCTCTCATTTTGGACCATTTCTCGATTTATGTGTACAGGGGCCATGCTAATCTTCTCTGTATCATTCCAATTTTAACAGATGTCCCGAAGGCCAGACATTGGTCAAATCTTGTGTCTTCCTCCTCCTTTTCTTCACTCTCTTTTCTTCTTCACGTAATTGGAATAGTTCCAGTCAGGCTCTTCTTTGTATGATTCCAATTTTAACAGATGTCCCGAAGGCCAGACGACCAAAACATTTTCCCCGATGCTTTGATGCAAAACTCAATTTTGAGTGAATGCCATTCATCAGGACAAACCTTTAGGGTTTATGGTTTACCATTACCATGCCCAATCCTCTCATCAGCGCAAACCTTTAGGGTTTAGGGTTTACCTTTGCGGTTTAAGTTTTAGGGTCTCACGTTGCGGATCATATTTACAGTATGCAGTTTGGGCTTTACCTTTAGGGTTTAGAGCTTACCATTCCCATGTCCAATCCCCTCATCAGGGCAAACCTCTACGGTTTAGGGTTTACATTTACAGTTTAAGCTTTAGAGTTCCACGTTTCATATCTACGTTACCCGAATGGCCCGGGACCACTTGCCTCTAGGGTTTAGGGTTTACGTTTACAGTTTAAGCTTTAGGGTTTCACGTTTCATATCTACGTTACCAGAATGGCCCCGGACCACTTGCCCAGCGGTGCCAAATATGAATAAAAATGACAAAAAAGTTAGAAAAACATTAATTTTAAAATTTTAATTTGGCAAAGAGTTTCGATGTGACCCTCAGGCCAAAGTTGTTCAATTTACTTTTCGGCACAACATAGTTTTGTTCCCTGATTACCAGATTATATATTGTCACATTGTGAATCAGAGCGCAAAAAAAGGGGAAAGAAAAAAGTTATATATATATATATCGTATATAATCTGGTATATATATATCGTCAAATAGAACTGCCCGGTAAACCGTAGGCAGAGAGGGAGAAGAGGACAACAAACGAGGGGCTGTGACAAACTGTTTCGTCGGAGTTTCACCGACTCATCAGGAGGCTCAACCCTCAACAGTCTGTAGAATCCCCTCACTGATTACACTGTAAGTGATAATCCACCTTAACCAAAATCAAAGTAGACTATCACTCACCCACACCAATATATATCGTCACAAATAGAACTGCCCGGTAAACCGTAGGCAGAGAGAGAGAAGAGGACAACACCAATATATATATATATATACAGGGACCTTCCCTGGCCCTTGCCCGACCGGGCTGCCCGGGCAACCAAGAGGCCCCCGGCGGCGGCCCCATTGGTAACACAGTTTCTGATCACATTTACGGTGTGCAGTTTGGGGTTTACATTTAGGGTAAACCCAAAAAAAAAAGCCGATCCATTTATGATTTTATATGACTTTGACATGTTTCTTGGTGGTTTCAAACTTCGGATTTACATTGAGGGTTTTGTGGCTTCAGGTTTACCGTAAAGGTTCAGGGCTTAGCGTTTCAGGTATTGGGTTTACATTTAGGGCTAAGGGTTCTGGTTTAGGGTTTTGATTACAGCTCATTATGAGGTGAAAAATCCTACAATTGCCATGATTGGATGGAAGAGCAACATGGACAAAAATAGTAGACCCTCGTACCTATAGAGTTAGGAGAAGGGTTAACAACTTAACACAGGCACTATCAGCTTTGTGGTAGAAGGCTTTAAACCACCAAAAATATATATATACAGGGACCTTCCCTGGCCCTTGCCCGACTGGGCTGTGCCCGGGCAACCAACAGGACCCCCACGGCTGCCCCGTTGGTAACACAGTTCCATATCACATTTACGGTATGCAATTTGGGGTTTACCTTTAGGGTAAAAAAACAAAAAAAAAAGCCAATCCATTTAGGATTTTATATGACTTTTACATGTTTCTTGGGGTTTTCAAACTTTGGATTTACGTTTAGGGTTTTGTTGCTTTAGGTTTACCGTGAAGGTTCAGGGCTTAGGGTTTCAGGTATTGGGTTTACATTTAGGGCTAAGGGTTCTGGTTTAGGGTTTTAATTACAGCTCATGATGAGGTGCAAAGTCCTACAATTGCCATGATTGGATGGAAGAGCAACATAGACAAAAACAGCAGACCCTCGTACCTATAGGAGTTGGATGAAGGGTTAATCGAGGCACTATCAGCTTTGTGGTAGAAGGCTTTAAACCACCACTAGCTCACCCACTGTTGGGAAAAATGGGAAAACTGGCAGTTTTCCCATACTCCTAAGAAATTGGGGGCAGGGCCCCACAACAGCCACCGTTGATAAATCTCATCGGCGGTAGTCGTTTCGTTTCGGCCTCCTAAAAGATCAGAGGCCCACCCGACGCCGACATGGGAAGAGGTAGTGGTGCTTTAAGGCTGACTCTAGCATATCATGAGAAGCAGTGGGAGAGACGACAAGGACTTTCAAGCTCGTTTATTACCTTTAAGTTTTCACACAACAGAGAGACGGGGCCTCACTCCACTAATCACTGAATGTGCACAATGGCAATGAACCTTCCGCTAGAACATGGGACGATACACCGCCATATTTTTTGTCTTTTGTGCATGTGGTGAATAGTTGAGCGAGGCCCAAGGTGCAGACATTCAGAGTTCTGTTAAGCCTAATAGTTGACACTCCTGAAAAGTGATCACTAAATTCACATTTCAAAAGCCGTGACGGCGTGACAGCCATAATGTCACTTGCTGGAGGCCTTTCGAGAAGGAAAGGTTAAGGGAGAAACAAGCAGATTTGGCCATACAGAGCAGGTTAGGAAAAGGACACAGGAGTGTGACAGAGTGAGCTGGCAGACTGACCTTAACAAGCGCAACAGGCCAACTTCTCAGTTCTCAGAATTCCACCTCTTCAGAGCTGTCCCCTTAAGGATCTTCCCTACCCTAATCCTTCGTGTTTACTCGGTGATGATGGTCGAACACTCGCCACCTTCTCCACTTTTGGTCTCTTTCTCACCTTCTCGCTCCTTGTCCTCCTCCTCCTCCCTTGTCCTCTCTTACCCACTTTCTCGATGTCTGTCACTCTCTTTTCCACCTTGTCGTTCTCTGTCATTCCTCCCACCCTCTTGCTTATCTTTGTGCTCCCTGTCTGCCTCTTCCCTTATCCTGTCTTTCCCAACTTTTTGCTTTCCGCCATCTCCTTCCCCCTTCCTTTGTTTCCCTATCTCTCGCTCTCTGTTCTCCCTCCTTGCTTCTTTCGAGCCTTCTCGCTCTCCGTCACTCGCTTCGCCGCGTTCTCGATTTCTGTCATCCTCTACCTTTATCTTCTCTTTCCCTGTTTCTCGCTTTCTGTGACCCTCTTCCGTTCTCACCTCTTTTCCGCCTTCTCGTATTCTGTCATCCTCTTCTTTTTTCTTGTCTTTTCCATTTCCTCGCTCTCTGTTGTCTCTTCTCTCCAGCCCAACAACTTGCTCTAGGTTACCCTCTGCCGCTCTTCTCTCCTTCCCACCTACTCCCTTTCGGTCATTATCTTCGCCCATCTTCTCTTTCTGAATGTCGTGCTGTCTGTTATACCTTTTCTCAAGCTCAACCTCTCGCTCTTTGTCACTCTCTTCCTTCCTCCTCTCTTTCCCACCCTCTCCCTTTTTGTCATCCTCGTCCCTCCTCTTTTCTTTCTCGGTTTCCCGCTCTGTGTCTTCCTTTCTCCTCTGTTGTCCCTCTTCCTTCCTCCTCTCTCTCTCGCCTTCTCGGCTTCGATCATCTGCTTCCTTCCTCTTATCTTTCCCAATTTCTTGCTCCCTATCGTGCCGCCTTCTCTCTTGCCCAACCTCTCGCTCTCTGACACCCTCTTCTGTGCTCCCCTCTTGCCCACCATCTCGCTTTCTGTCACCCTGCTCCCTTCTCCTTCCTTTGCCATTTTCTCGGTCTGTGTCGTCCCTTCTTTCTTGCCTGTTTTCTCGCTTGTGACTCTCTTCCTTCCTTTCACCCTCCTGCTCTGTTTCACGCTCTCTGCCATCCCTTCTTCTCTCTTGCCCAATTGCTCGCTCTTCGTCACCCTCTTCCTTCCTCCTCTCTTTCCCACCTTCTCGCTTTATGTCATCCTCTTCCTTTCTCCTCTCTTTCCCTCTTTCTTCCTTTCGCCTCTCCTTCCTGGCTTCTCCATCTCCGACACCCTCTTCCGATCTCATCTCTCTCCTACCCTCTTGCTTTCTGTCAACCTCTTCCATTCTCTTCTCTCTTCGAGTTTCCTCCCCCCTGTGGTCCGTTCTCCTCTCTTTCCGGGCTTCTCCCTCTGTGTGACCCCCTTGCGTTTGTCTTTCTTGCCTGGTTTCTCGCTCCCTAGGGTTCCTCTCATCCTCTTCCTTTCTGCTATCTTCTCTCCCTGTTTCTCTATCTCTGCCATCCCTCCTCCTCTCTCTCCCGAAGTCTCGCTCTATGTCACCCCCTTCCGTCGGCACCTCCTTCCCACCTCGCTTCCTGTCTCCCGCGTCTGTTTCCATTTCTTTTCCCATTTCTCGCTCTCCGCCAAACATTCTCCTCTCCTCCGCAGTTTTCTCTCCCTCCCTGCCGTCACTTTTCCTGTCCTGTCTAACTTCTCCCTCTCTATCGTCTACTCCCCGCTCTCTCCGGTTCTTTCGGTCTTTGTCATCCTCTTTTGTTTTTCGGTATTTACCACCACCCCGTTCTCTGTCATCATCTTCTTTTTTTCTCTCTTTATCTCTTCCGTCCCTTCTGCTATCTTTCCCACCCCCTTCTCTCTCTCTGTCCAAGTCTGGGCTGGAATACTGCCCATCGAGACCACGGCCATCCTCTTTCCGTCCCCTCTCTCTCCCGCTTTCTCGCTCTTTCTCGTACCTTCTCCTCTCTTTGCCACCTTCTTCTCCTCTACCACCAAGTTCTTCCCTTCCGCTATCTTTCCCGCCTCCTCGTTCTCTCTCGCTATCACCCTCTTCCCCTTCCTTATGTTTGCCACTCCCTCGCTCTCCATCATCACTTCTCCTCTCTTTCTTACCTTCTTCCTCACTGTCAATCTTCCCCCTTCTCCTGTCGTTTCCACCTGCTCGCTCCACGTCTATCTCTCCCCTCCTCCTCTCTATCCCGCCTTCTTTGCCTCCTCCTCCTTCTCTGTCCCCTTTTCTCCCATCCCTCCCACTTTCAGCTCGCCCGTCACTCTCTTCTCCTCTCCGCTCTCGTCCATCTCTCACTCTTTCTCGCTCTCTATCACCCTCTTCCTCTCTCCTGCCATTCCCTCCTTCTCGCTCCCTATCGTACCTTCTCCTCTCTTTCCCAACTTCTCTCACCCTATCACCCTCCTCCCTTATCCTTTGTTGTTTCCCCTCCTTCTCCTCTCTGTCATCCTCCTCCGTTCTCCTCACTCTCCCACTTTCTCCGTCCCTGTCGTCCCCTCTGCCATCTTTCTTTCTTTCTCGCTCTCTATCATCCTCTGCCCCTCTCTTCTTCTCTTTCCCCCCATCTTGTTCTCCATCCCTACCTCCCTCTCTTTTCCTTTCTTTCATTCCCTCTTGCCCTGTTCTTTCCACTACTGCTCCATGTCTATCACCTTCTCCTCCTCGTCTCATGTCCCTTGCGCTTTCTCCTTCATTGTCGCTCTCTTCCTTTCTTCTGCTTTCCTTCGCGCTCTGCAGTTTTCGGTCCTCCTGCTTACTCACAACCTCCCTATCACCATCTTTGCCGCGTTCAGTGCGTCCTTTGCTGCGATCACTTCCTCCCCCATCTTTAACAACCACCGCTGCTCCACGTCTATCGTCTTCTCCTCTTTTCCTGTCTCTTGCGCTTTCTCGGTCTTTGTCGCTCTCTTCCTTTCTGCTTTCCTTTGGGCTCTGCAGTTTTCGGTCCTCCTGCTTACTCACAACCTCCCTATCACCACCATCTTTGCCGCGCTCACTGTGCCCTTTGCTACGATCACTTCCTCCCCCCTCTTTTACAACCACCGCTGCTCCACGTCTATCGTCTTCTCCTCTTTTCCTGTCTCTTGCGCTTTCACCATCCTTGCTGAGCGCAGCAATCAACTTGATCAGCTTGGGGCTCTCCTTGACGGAATCCCCCGCGATCTTCTTGCTGCGAATGCTTGCCTCCTGGATGACCTTGTCACTCTCTTCACTCTCTTGGCTGCGCTTGCCACCATCCTTGCGCAGCTCATCGCGCTCTTCGCCGCGCTTGGTGCCCTTCTCGCTGCTTGCGCCGCCCTCCTCGCTGCTCGAATCACTGCCGTTCTCCTCGCCAGAATCGCCGCTCACTTTCCGGGTGTCATCCCCCTTCCCTGTCCTAGATCCCCCCCCCTCCTTCCCAAGCTCGCCCGCCTGTTTGCTGAACTTGCCCCTCTCCTTTCCGGGCTCGCCGTCCTTCTTGCTCGGCTCGGCGCGCTCCTGGCTGACCTGGTCGCCCTTCTGCCCTGGCTCGCTGCTCTCTATGCTCAGCTCACTGCCCCTCTTGCCACGTTCAGGTATCGCATACCCGCCACCCTCCTTGCTCAGCTTCTTTCCCCCCTCCATGAGCTCGTCATGCTCCTCGCTAACCTCGCCGCCCTGCTTGGTGATATCGCCGCCGTCCTTGCGGCGCTCACCACCCTCCTTATGCAGCTGCATGAGCTTGCCCTCCTCCTTCTCGCTCCACTCATCGCCCTCGTCGCTTACCTCTCCGCTCCGCTGGCTGCCCTCACCGCTCGCTTTGCCGCTCTGCCCATTCAGCTTACCGCCCTTGCCGCTCACCTTGCTGCGCTCGCTGCCGCTCGCCTTGCTGCGCGCGCCACTCTCCTTTGGGAGCTCGCGGTTCTCCTCCCTTCTGGGCAGAAGTCTCTCGCTGCTTGGCTCCCCCCGGCTATCTTTTCTCCCCCCTCCTCGCTCTTTTCCACCGCGATCACTCCCCTCCTTATCACTCTCAGCTTCTCTGTCTCCTTTTCTGCGGCCTTCCCTCCAACGGTGATGCGCACTTCTACCACCTGACAGGCCATCCTTCGGCTCAGCACCTTGCTCTTCCTCATCTAAAAAATCCCCTAAATCGCTCTCCTTACTATGCTCGCCTTCATCTCTCTTCCTTCGCTTGCCGTGTTTGTCGCGCTTGCGATGTGTCCCATCCGACTCGCCGTCCGTCTTCTCCCCACCGCTCCCCCCCTTCTCTTCCCCTCTCTCCCTCGTGTCACCGCCGCTCTTCTTCTGTCTGCCCGTCTTCTCCTTACCACCCCTCCTCTCGTCGGTCTTGAGCTCCCTCCCCTCCCTTTCCTTTCTTTCTCCCCCTTCTCTTCCTCCTCCTTGTTCAATGTCCCGCTTCAAATCATGCCGCTTCTTGTTGACACTCAGAAGGCCTTCCACTTCGCTATCATCAGCTTCATCCACCACGCGCTTGCCTATTCCAGTCTTGGGAATATAAGCTCGCAGCCGAGTTAGCCGCTCGGTCTCTTCCTTCTGTTGCATCTGTTGTCTCCGCCTTGTCTGCCACCAATAATACGTCAGTCCCAAGCCCAGAACCAAGAGCAAGAAGGAGCCAGCAAGTGCCATAGCGAGCACGATGATGGCTTTCAACTTGCTGCCAGCGTGAGTACTCCCACCTCCTCCTCCTACCTCCCCTTCTTCCCCTGACGGTGGTCCCGTATCTGCGGCCGGCGGCGGTGAGTCTAACTCGGCAACCTGGAGGAGACTTGCCAGCTTGAGCTCTTGCTGCGCGTTTCTTTCTCGAACCTGTGCGATCACATGCTCGTACATCTGGCCCTTCGCCTGAATTTCAGTCGTCTTTGTGTCGTCGCATAGCAGGGACGGGTCGTCCGTCAGGGCTTGATACCCCGACCAGCCCATTTCGGCGCTGACTCTGTTGACCGGGTCAACCACGAAGTTGTTGACTTTCTCCAGATCCGCGGGGCAATACAAGTTCCCGTTCCAGGACCCCACCGAGCGGAAATACTCCGCGCTCATGTCCAACCCCCTGGCAACCATCCCGTAACCTCTGTAGCTCAAGATCCTGCTGCTCGCATAAATTACGTTGTCGTCAACCACGGTGTTGGAAGCTGGGAAGTAGGTGAGGAACTCGAACCCGCCGCCTAGCTGGTTCCAGACGAAGTTGGCCTTCCATACCACGTTCTGCGCAAGGCTGTTCCGCATCGCTTTGCCGCGGCATCGGATCACCGAATTGTTGATGACGTGGACGTTTCCCGTCAAAGCACCGTCCACGTAGATGCCGAATCCACCCAGGAAGTAGCGGTCCTTAGGATCCGATCTAAGGCCCAAATTGGCCCAATTTCCGTAACAATCGGATATGATGTTGTCGGTGATATACTTGTGACCCCCATTGTCTGCCGTCTGGATGACGTACACTCCGCCCCCGTCGGCCATGCCCATCAAGACATCGAACACTATGTTGCTGGACAGCCTGTTGGGCGCGAAGAACGTCCCAAAGATCCCCGCGTAGGCTGTCATAGACACCACATTGCCTATCGCTTCGTTGACGTACAACCCCACAGCTCGAGACCATCCGCTCACATAGCCGCAATGCCGCACAACGTTGCCCTCGGCCCGATACGTGGCGGCCCGAGATTCGTCGTCGTCGAGCATCTCGAACCCGCCAATGCAATCTGAGAGGGCCCAGGTGACCACATTGCGCTGGACCAAGAAGAGACCCCTTGGGAATGGCATCCAGATCCCGATCACGGTGCGCGAGATGACGCAGTCCCTAACGGTCACATTTCGCACGGCGTTGTCGTCGTTTTTCTCGTACCGTTCGGTCGCAATCCCGTGCTGTCCTTTCTCCACCCTCAAGCTTTCCAGGACAACGTTGCTCGATCCTGCTGCCACGTGGACCACAGATGCGTATCTTCGTGTCACCACGTGCAGATCCCCTACCTGCTGCCCAGGATGGGGGAATATGTACAGCAACCGGCGCTTTTTGTCATAATACGCCTCTCTGGGAGCATCAAGAAACTCCAGTTTGTTCTCGAAGTACATGCTGCCTCCTCGGACTTCTTCGTCCAACCATACCACGTCCCCTCTATGACGAATAACCAACGGAGTCTTCCATGCAAAGACTCCCTCCCTCACCACGGCCCTGCTTCCCGCGAGGAAACCGTCCGGAAGACGGTGTTCCAGGAACGATTTCGGCGCCTTGCATGACGTGATGGTTTGGTTCCCCTCCACTTTCTGTTCCACCTGCCAGAACTTGTCCGTCATCTCTAGGTTGTTGCCCCAGGTGTCATTGGGCAACAAGTAGTTTGGGAATCGCGCAGGATAGAATAGCTGATTGTCCACGTAAACGCTGAAGTAAGAAAGGTCTGTTCTCGAAGATAAGATGGACGACAGATCGAACACCAGCACGGCCTTGTTCTTTTTCCACTTGGTCAGTCGCAGATCGGCGACCTTCAATCGAATCGCGCCGCTAATAACTGGCAGACCGTCGCTAGGTCTATCATTGCGGCAATCATATTGCCCGCTCACTGTGACGGGACTCTCCACCGTGCCTTTCCCCACCACTCGTAGCTGTTCATTGGACCATACATCTCCCTTGCACAGGTATAGGATGTCCCCCGCCTGCCACTGTACGGAACTGGCCTTCGCAAGCGAGCGCCAAGGAGTCGATGGGGACTGTGCATCCGTTTCAGATCGACGGTCATCACCAAGACTGGAAGAGAAGTAGAAGCTTCGGCCGCAGCTCACGGGCTGGCCGATAAGAACCACCAAGGGCAGCAACACGTGAGTGACGACAAGAGCTGCAAGCTGGAGAGCAGCAAGGACTACTGCGGCAGCGGCGGCGGCCGCGTCGACTGTCTTTGCCGCCGCCGCTGCCGTGTCAAGCTGGGTGCTCCGCATATTTCCATTCTCCTACAGCACGCATGGTGATGGTTGTAACAATGAGGAGGATGAGGCTGATGATGATCATGAATTATCATAGATAGTCGCCTCCTTCTCCTCCTAGTTAACTTCTGGTGGCAAGCTGCACCTGCTGGAAACCATGTCCAGCGTCCCAAAATCCAATCCACTGATTGTTACTTACTCTGAACGCTTCCCCTAGTTAAACTTTGCCAACTCAGGTGCCAACTAAATAGGGTTCGCAACAGGATATATGGCAACGGTGCGCAACGGATCTCAGGTGCATTGACAAACAAGAGCTCATACACGTGTGTGTGTATGTGTGTGTGTGTGTGTGTTTGTCGGCATCCCCAAACTCTCT